GATAACAATTAGAGATTAATAAAATTCGATACTCCCTCTCGAACATTTCAAGAAAATACACACAGGAAGGAGGGAAAGGAATGGGGGACATTATTTAGGACGAGTTTTAGTGTCGAGTCGATAGTCGAGTCGATATAATCGTATTCGGAACGCGTACGAACTTTTAACCAAAAATTCTTAACGGACCACCACCAGCGTGAGACAATGTTTTACTGTCGTCGAAATTACCTACCGAGCGGTTAAATGTCGCGCGAGAATTTCTCGTTTCACACGTTTACTAACGTAACGTGAGAACAGTTATGATCAAACAGGACGAAAGAAAAAGAAAAAAAAAAAACAGTTTCGTAAAGTTATCGCGATGAACCATAATTATAATGATCATTTACTGCTCTAATTACTTATTAGAGATCCCAATTTTCTTCCATCTTATCTCGATGAAAATGAGTATTACGAAATAAATGTATAATGAAGATAATATTTATTTTCGTTCGAACGAAAATCTATTTTCTCTGTCGACGATGATCAAGATGGAAGGAATCCACCATGGGTGCGTAAAACCTCTATTAAGGTTCTAGGGGCGTCGTCACTAAAATCCCTATTTTACGATCATCCTCGTGTTTCTAAAATAATCCCAAGGAATCTATCGGGTTCAGGGTTCGTTGACTTCCACTTTAGAACCGGTTCCCATCCTAAATTGGGGGACTTGAACTGTCTAAGATGGTTATTTAAATCGTTTTCTTTCCTCCTCTTTTTTTTCTTCAAGGGAAAACCAGTATAGATTGTTTATATGAAAATTGAACGAGCTTTTTGTTTTGTAATTCGGTAAGAAAAAGATGTTTTTTTTTTTTATTATTCATGAATTTGAACAAAAGTTGTTTTTTTTTTTTTTCGTAGTGAAATTCAAGTTTTTCAAATTTTTCATTATTTTTATATCTAAGATAATACTGTTTCGTATCCTTTTTTTTTGAAGTTTAAATCCTTCGCTATTCTTTCATATCGAAAATAATATTCCACCATTTCCTTTTTTCTTTAGCCAACTTTACTATCTCGCTTAAAAATTAAGCTTTTCGAATCCCTCATCATCATATTCATCAATCGAAAATAATGCTCCATTCTTCTTTTTCTTCAGCCATCATTCCTATTTCTATTTTTTACCATTTTCTTTTCTTTTTATTTTTTTTTTTTTTTTGCTCGTCTCTCCCGTTTTATGAACGTGTAATAAAGTCTTACCTCTTCTTCCTTTCTCCTCCTTATCTCCCCTTCGTTTAGATATCTCCGACTTTTTATCTAAAATAATTAGTGCGTGAACACGGCTACATTCCAGATGTGGCTCTAGCGCATAGAAGAAAGTTGGTGGTCAGTGATGGATGTGCGCGTTACACGAGAACGAACAAAAAAAAAAAAAAAAAAAAAACAAGCGAGGAGAAAAAAACTTCATTTTTGCGGGACCATGGTTACACGATCGTTAAGATAACGATCAGATTATACGTATTACAAGCTTGTTGAAAAGGAAATCGTACTCGCGTGTCTTTTTCGGAAGGTCTTCATTTCCCGATTATCCTTCGTTTTTCTTCTTTCTTTTTTTTTTTTTTTTTTTTNTTTTTTTTTTTTTTTTTTTTTTTACATTCCATCTTGCACATCGTGCGTCGTTTAAAACCTGGAAATTAAATAATATTTTTAAAACTTATCAAAGAAGAAACTGTCGTTACTATTTATCGAAAAATTATCAAGAATCGAGAAATTGTAATTTATTGTAAGTGCACGCCTGGAGGACGTATGAAGGTCAAGTTTGACTTTTTGTAGAGCAAAAATCTTGTATATTATATTAAACTTATCAAAGAAGAAACTGTCGTTATTAATTATCGAAAAATTATCGAAAGTTGAGAAGTTGTAATTTGTCGTGAGTGCACGCCTGGAGGACGTATGAAGGTCAAGTTTGACTTTTTGTATATTTTGGTCGCTTAACATCTTGGAAAATAAAATACTTTTAAAACTTATCAAAGAAGAAACTGTCGTTATTAATTATCGAAAAATTATCGAAAGTCGAGAAGTTGTAAGTGCAGGCTTGGAGGACGTATGAAGGTCAAGTTTGATGTTTCCGATGCAGAGCAAAGATTTTAAATCACGAATCACGTCCAGATTTTAATGCTCCATTGCAAAATTGTATTCAAGATATTCTCTCTAAATTCGTATTAAAAAAAAAAAAAAAAAACTTATTAATTCATAACCCACTGTGTGTATAAATTAAACGGGACGTAATTCGCAATTGAAAATTAGAATTTTTCTTTAAAGTATTTTCCTCGTACAATAATAATATCTGCAAATATCTCAAAGATATTTCTCTTTATAATAATAAAACGAATAAAAAAAAAAAAAAAAACACTTCGATTAAATTACCTCGATCAACCTCGAGTATTATTCAACTTAATTATTCAAGAAAATATTCCAGTCACTAACTAACATATACCGCGTACATATACCACTACTACATGGAAAAATGAATCTATCTCCAAGTGTTTAATAGACAGCGGAGAGCGTTTAACCTGCTCGAATAAGAAGCAAAAAAAGGAAGGAGAGGAGGAGGAGAAGAAGAAGAAAAAGAAGGAAAAGGAAAAATAAGAGAAATTACACTCGACATTATCGTGAGTCATCGATTCGAGACGAACGGTTCTCGACAACCACGCCTCCTTAATTTATTCAACCGGACACGGGGGAATGCAACTTTCTTGGCGTTCGTTAAGTCCGTTTAAATCGAATACGATAATTTTATGCGAATGCTTCGCGTAACGCTGGTAGCTGGTAGCTCCAAATATTTTGTCTCTTTTGCTCGTAGATCGAAAGAGAAAGGGAAAGAAAGAAGAAAGAGAAGAAGCAATTAGAAGAAGAAGAAGAAAGAGGGAATCGAGAGACAATACTTTTGCGTTGTAATTTAATCGCTGTGTGCAGTGCGAATTACGCTTTGTGGAAGCGTTTTTTTTTTTTTTTNTTTTTTTTTTGTAGAAGAAAAAGGGCACGGGACACCAGTTCTACAGTGGATATTAATAAGCGCGGTTATGAAATGCGCGACGATTATTTCGTTACGTAAAAACATGTCCTCCTGTCGCATAATACTTCCTCTCGTGACGATCGTTTCGTTGGAGAGCAGGTAAACAGATTTTGCGTGCGGTAAGAAAGATTACAGCGTTTTAGTTATTAAGCGTTAAAAAACGTATGATATATTAAATATATAAAATTATTTTCTAATAATTGTTCTCTTTTTTTGACAATTTTCACAATTTGCATTTTACGTTTAAACGTTTGTTATTAAATATTTTTCGTTTTATATCTCATCTTTCAAGGATTTTAACACTTAGAACAATCGAAATAATGGTTTTTTTTTTTATCGAGAACGTGAAAATATTTTTGATCATTAATATCGTAATTTATTGAGAAATAATAATAATTTAAATATACTTATCTCCGTGACGTAGCAAGCATTTATATGTAAAATGAATGGATATTAAAGGCCCGGTAGTTGTAGTATTAAAAACACCTATTAATCATCCATTTTAATCACCTTTTATCCTCCATCGTAACCATGGTAATCTGAAACAAAAGGAAGAATGAAATAATCGCGCGTATTGGATCGAATTAAGTCGTATCAAGCCATGCGGCGATAACGAGAGGCGAAATTATTGATCTGTGGCGGGAAAAAAAAAAAGAAAAAGAAAAAAGAAATCGCGAGAGAATCGCGTCATGCGGGTCATCTTCGATCGTTATCATATTCGAGCACGACAATCGGGGAATAGAAGGGTGAATAAATAATCTAAAAAAAAAAAAAAAAAAAAAAANAAAAAGAAAGAACAAACGAAAGAATAAAAGAAAAAAAAAAAAAAGGAGAAAAACCGGTTTTGCTATCTTTTTCAAAGTGATCGTAATTATATCGTAAATTTAACAACGAGTGGAGCAGCATCGACTCTCCGTTTATGGTTCCGGTTCGTTAAAACTTTCCTCGAAATGAATTCCGAGCGAACGATGCTCACGTAACGATCAAAAAACGATTGTACTCCCTGTTTCGCGATTTCTCGTAATCTTTTAATCTTGAACTTTCACTTCTCTTTTTTCTCTCTCTCTCTATTTCCTTTTCTTCTCTTTTCTTTTTTCAATCCCCGATTTTTAGATTTTCTGCCTCGTGCTGGAAAAAAAAAAAATATCCGGGAATCATCGGAAATGTAATTCATCGAGCTGATAATTGAACGAGATACGAGTTGTAACGGGAGCGTAAGGAAACACGAGGGCGGAAGAAAAAGTGGACATCGTGATATACGATTTTGTGCTTTCGAGTCGAGAGATTACTTTTTCCAACCGTTTTGCGCCAGATTGGCCGCGAGTTTTCATTTTTTGGTATCGCGGTTGAGCGTGGAAAAGTTAGGTTATGTTTCATTTTCGTATCACGATTGAACTCGAAAAAGTTAGGTTATGCTTCAGATAAACGAGTTAGAAAATCACGCGATTGAGCACGAAAAAGTTAGATTATACTTCGGATAAATCGAAAGGAATGAGAATAATTAGAAATGTGAAAACCTCGCGATCGAGCGCGAAAAAGTTAGGTTCTGCTTCGGATAAATGGAAAGGAATGAGTTAGAAATGTGAAAATCACGCGAACAGGCGCGAAAAAGGTTAGGTTATGGTTCGGATAAATGGAAAGGAACGAGTTAGAAAATCACGCGATTGAGCGCGAAAAAGTTAGGTTATGCTTCGGACAAATCGAAAGGAACGAGTTAGAAATGTGAAAATCACGCGATTGAGCGCGAAAAAGTTAGATCATGCATCGGATAAATCAAAAGGAATGAGAATAATTAGAAATGTGAAAGTTATTCTTTATAAAGTTAGAGATTTAAATGATTTAACTCGAATAACCTCGTTTCGTTTAAATATCACATTATGGATAGAATTTCAATAATCTGATATATTAAAAACTTTATTTCGATTTTGTTTGAATTATTGAAATATGAAAAAAGGATAATAAAAATATTCGTGAGGAATATCAAGATATTCTTCGCGTGTACACAATGGACTGGCGGTTGACAACAGGTTAAAATAATTATTACGATTAACTACGTTCCTTTTTTTCTCTCTCTCTCTCTCTCTCTGTACCAGCTCTCAACCACGGCAACGAGGCACAAAATGTGTGTAAGTTAGGAATTGCCGACAGTCTGAGCACGCGATAATTGTGCGGTTGTGCAACGATCGTTAAGGTTTCACGAGTTGCTCGTATTTCATCGAAAAAAGGAGAAGAAAACTAGGCGAAAGAAAACGAGAATGATTTTCCATTTCACCAGCTTCTGCCGTGAAATCGTTTTGTTCGAGCGCCGATCGACGATGTACACGGTGACTCCACGCTATCCGCAAGTCGAATAAAAATGTCCAGATGAAAGTTGCCCGATATACACGAGCCTAATGCGAGCTTGCCCTCCATTTGTTTCCAGAACGTTGCGAACGACGGATATTGAATATGTTCAATTATCATTCGGGCACAATCGGACGAAAGAAATAAAAAGAAAGAAAAAATAACAAAAAAAACGCCATTTCCAAAAATTGAATTCCAAATTGGCGACTATGATAATCCATCTTCTCCATTTGGATCCATTATTTTTTATAGCCTGCGAAAAAAAGTAACGATCATATATAAAGATATTTCGAGACGAAAATTAAAAAACAGTTCTGATTATTCACAAACGTGTACAATAATCCATCTTCTCTCCATTTGGATCGACTTTATTGATCTTCGAGAAAAAAAAAAAAATCATCTTCCATAAAAACGTTTCGAAATAATAATTCTCGTCGTTCCAAAAATTGAATTCCAAACATCTGTAATAATTCATCGTCCCCATTTGGATCTTGGACCATCTTTCGTTTATTAATCTGCAAAGAAAAAAAAAAAGTAACAACGATCCTCCATAAAAATATTTTCATAATGCAGATCAGAATTTCTCGTCATCCCCAAAAATAATCGATCGTTTCGAAACTCCAGTTTCCGCGATCCTTCAAGGATCGACGAAGAATTCGTGTTGTGGAGGCGAGGCGAGATGTATTTTCTCATACCATGAATCCCGGGATAAACTTTTCCCATAGTACTTCCACGGCGTCGTTACATTGTCAGGAAGAACATTTGCATTGACATGGCAAAGCCGCCGCAAATGGACAGGCGAGCGCAGAAAGTGGCGAGGCGTTGGCCGCCGTTTAAGAGTTAACGTTACAGCGAGTTCGCCGCAAAAAGATCTGGTTCACGTCGTTCCAAGTAAAAAAAAGCATCGAATGCTTATATATATATATATATGTATACTATATATCGAGTCGAGGTGGAGCAGAGCTCGAGTGAAATGTGGCGTAAGCAGGCCCGATAACAACGACACACGGTCGTTGGGCCCATGGGCCAGGACTTTTACGCCGAAGGACATGCCCCTTCGAGTTGTGCACGCGCTTTGCACCAAGTTTCTCCTTCTTATCGTTCTTGTGTAACGCACGCCACCGTCTTCTTTTTTCCTTTTTTCTTTGCTAGGAGTGAGAGAGGGAGAGAAGGGAAGATAGGAAAAGAAAACGAAAACTTATTAGTTATCCGTATCACTCGTCTCGTTCGATTCGAGTGCTGCTATCGTTGCGCTGCGATTGAACAACGAACAATGCGCATGTGTGCTGTTGCGCATTGTGAATTTGCGCAGGTTGCAGAGAGAGGATTTGAGGATAATCGAAAAAGAGGTTAGGTGGGAAAATTTAGGTGATCTAGATGTTGATTGAATAAACTTTTAATAAAATAATATATGTAAGATGAAAAAACTGAAAGATTTAATAAATTGTTAATAAAATAAAAACGAAGAAAAAGAATATATGAAGATTAACTTTATCTTTTGAGAAATTACGATATACATTGTCAAATTGACAATGTATATTTTGAATTAAGAAAACTACAAGTATTAAAAATTCTTTTACCAAAACGGAACCATTGCCAGGTCGGTAAATCAGTATCAGCTCGAAACTCTGTTGCCTCGTTCGTTATATAGTATATCAGACTACTATGAAATAACATCGCCGCAGACAATCACGTTCACCTACGTGGACGCTGTAATCGTAAAATATGGGGCGTCGTGGCACAGGATCTAAAAGTTATTGCTTGTCGTGCTGCTCCGGTGACTTTGAATGGAGCTGGAGTCAAACGATTGGATAATTATGCTCTCGGTACTTGAATAATTCGAGGCCCTGTTATTATATATCCCGTTATAGCCACTCGATTATTTATAGATCCACCGTTTCTATTTGCCTCTGTAATAGCAGATCGAATTGTCCGTTTTGTCAGCAAATCGAGAATTCCAGAATTATCTGCGACAAGAATCAACTTTGTCGTTCGATCGTTCTTTTTCAACTTTATAATAAAAATAGATCTTGGGACGAACGATTTTTTCCCATTTTTTTTCTTTCTCTGAAAAATGAATACGAAGGATCGAATTAATTTTTGAATATATTTTGGAATATAAGCAATTGAAATTGTTAAACGAAATAACAAGACGGTATGACAGAGATAGAGCTGTCCGTCTAATCTAACCTATACCAACGTTTGTGTTTCTTTCGAAGGTGTACCACGAATATATTAACACTCTGTATATAATTAATCATATTTGAAACAAAGGCTTGAAATAATAATAAACGTTCAAGTGTCCTTTGAGGTATGTCTTTTAGGATATCACGTAATATCAATAGTATTTAATTCGACGAGAGATGAGTTGAAGGATCAATAGGTATTGTATATTGTCTTCAGAAGCATATAACTATGCTCATAACCGAGTTAAGAATTCACGTTACTTAACAATTACCAATTTCATACGTTCACCTGTGACCACCCACGCTAACATTAAAATCGATTGCATCGACAAGTATACATTCGAGTTTGAATACCAGTTATTAATAATATCGTTTACACATTTTTTTTTCTTGCAGTGTTGACAACATCAGAACTAACGTCTCTTTATAATTTGATTTGATTATAAACGAGCCGATCGTTTCATACCCTTTTAATACTTTCCAACCGGAAATTGATTGCTCAACCTGTTTACCGAATAAATTATTATATAGTTACATTGCAATTTTTGAGGTTATGTAATCGTTGTATTGATTTTCTTTTAGAAAAACTTCTCGAGCATTACATCGTATTAAAAAATATAAATTATACGTAAATACACGTAGAAAATTTGATAAAGATACCTTGTTTAAATTAATTTATCTTCGAATCGTGGATTTTGATGCGTTTTATCAAATAACTTTTAACTTGCATTCTTTCCTTTCTTCTTAATCATATATATCTCACGGAAAAATGTAAATTATACACATTAGTACAACGACTTTTTAATTTAGAAACAGCAAAGGAAAGATGTTATCGATTGAATTTAATATCCTCGACGGATTGAAGTCTAATGTCGTCAAGAAAATCCAACGAGAAACGAGTGGACTGTGTGCAACTATGTGACCAACTAATTGATACGAAAACTTATGTATACATATATGTTAGAAAGATTGACCGACTTATAACTGTTGGACCTTATTAGAAAAAGCATATTTCTTGAATAATTAAATAATAATAAACTTGATGAATCAGAGTTTTTTTGCGGTTAATGAAATTGTGAAAAATCGATCGGATTCTTTTTTTACTTGGAAACATAAAAAATTCTTTAATAATTTGCCATAGAGAAAATATTTTCAATTATGACGATACTTAAGGAATTCGATAAACTCTTTAATTACGTTTATGCCATTTAAAGCTTATTTTTACGTAACGATAATACCAACTGTTAACGATAATTATGTTTTCACATATTTTATATATTTTACTTGAGCGATAAAAATGCAAAATTATTCTTATTTTTATTTCAATTTTTCAGCCGGTATCGACAATTTTGAATATTATTAACGATCCATCCACTTAATAATCCATCTGGTTATTTGTCAAAAAAAAAAAAAAAAGAACTTTTACGTCAATTCAATACGTCTAATTTGAATCTTTGGACGGAGTTATCTCTGAAATTGTTTCAAAAAAATATTTTCAGTTAAAAAAATTTAGTTTCTTTTAGATTTCAATTTCATGAAATTTATCTCTTCTCAAATCGAAATATGGATGTCAAGAAAATCGTGCGGATTAATCAAATTGTCGTTTGTATAAATCTTTCGAGAAACGTTGGAACGACGATTTATCACTATAAAAATTAAAACACTAGCCGCGTTTTTTTTTTTTTTTCAAGATCACTGCGCTCTTCAAATTTGCTCGACACGAGCTTGAAACATTTGAACGATCGAAGCTTGAAATAATCAAAATTTTATCCGTTACGGCTATTATTGTAAATTCTGAATCACTCGGCCACGCAGCGAGAATACGAGGTGACAATTCAAATATTTCTTCGCTCGGACAGGCTTTGCCCTCTATTCTCTAGTCGCCACGATGAGTTGGAAAATTAGGGGATCGGTGAAAAAAAAATTTTTTTTTTTTTTCCCGCGAAACGAATTCCCATGCACGATTAAAATGATTGGCAATCGATCGAAGTAATCGAACGAAGTAATAAAAAACGGAAGGAAAAATGGAGCAACACGCGAGATAAAAATTCGATTCGATGTATAAATATAATTGCAATGATATTTATACGGCGGCTACAAATTATATTTCGAGTTATTTTCGACGATCGCATTGAAATACGCGGGACAGATTAAAAGCAATAATTCATCGCGCATAACGAGACGCTATCTACAGATGGTAATAACAGTCTAAACTATAAAAAACGTGTATACACGCATAGGCCACTGTAATTGATGCAATTAATTACAAACTGTTGAATGACCAAACGTCACTACGGACAATGCGATTCGTGTTTCCAAACGCGATAACATTATCTCGGTGTTTATTCTAAGCAACGAGACCGCAGAAACGTCGGCCTTTTAAGAAAGAGTTTTCATGCGTACACAACCGCCGTCGACACAACCGACTCTTGGGATAAGGAAATAAAGAAACGAAAATACAAATACTCATTGTTCGTTGCAGAGGATATCGGGGAAACCGGTTATCTGGCTAACGTGATAATTATAAAGAAGATTCGTAGATGGACACGCTAAAGAAACGAAGTAGTCTTCGCCTAGTGGTAAAAATATTATCACTTACGTGTAACGATGGGATCGAGCAGCAATGCGATTTGATTGACCAATGAAAATTTCCGATTCGAGACGAAAAGTTGCCGATATAGGTTACAAGTAGCGATGGGATCGAGCGTGGAAACATTTGAACATCGAATTGATCGATGAAAGGTTTGACTTAAATTTTCGTTTCGAAACGAAAAGGTGGCGATATCGGTTATACAAGTAGCGATAGGATTGAGCGTATGGTAGAAACATTTGAACATTGAATTGATTAATGAAAGATTTGATAAATTTTCGATTCGAGAAAAGTTGCCGATATCGGTTACAAGTAGCGATAGGATTGAGTGTATAGTAGAAACATTTGAACATTGAATTGATTAATGAAAGATTTGATAAATTTTCGATTCGAGAAAAGTTGCCGATATCGGTTACAAGTAGCAATAGAATTGAGTGTATCGTAGGAAGATTTAAAACATATATATATATATTCAGTCACAAGTGTTCATATATTATCTTACGAGAAATTCACTTAATTTGAATATCCTGGTTTTAATAAATGTTCACGTGTTTATAGAGCATGATGATTGTACATTTTTTTTCTCAAATAACGAAATACAAGAGAAACTTCGAACTTTGCTCGATTCGAAGATTCAATTTCAATATCGATAAATGCACAGTTTGGATCCTACTGTTTGGCCTACCAAACGTTTATTTAAATCTATTATCTTTTTCCTATGTTTGATACAAAGAAAACTCCGAACTTTGGTCGATTGGTATCAGAATTCAATTTAAATATCTACTACTCGATAAGCGTATAATTTCGACGTTCGATTTTTGCCCATCCATCCAATATTTCCTATTTACTTATATCCCTCTCTTTCTCTTTCGCGCGCTATCCTTTCCTTTTGACGGCCGTTAAAATTCAAAGGAAACTCAAATTAAAATATACTATATCCACGCACAATTTCGTTGTCCAATTTTCGATCCGTTATCCAAGCTTTTACATCGGCGCGCGCGTGAAAAGAGCAAAGCGCTGGTTCGCCCTTTTTTCGTGGCGAAGCCGGTTCAAGGTGTGTGCGTTTGCTCTGTTTGGATTCGGGGCTTGCCAGTGTCGGCAGCAGGTGGAAACCGCTTCTGAAGCGGAGCCGGCGAAGGTGGAAGAGTGGCATCGAGAACTGGTTTCAAGCGGGAACAGAGTTCGGTGGCGTTGCGCGGAGCGGCGTGGCGGATACCAGGTGGTGGGGGGCGATCCGCTTCGCAGTCGTGGTGGGGGAAGGTTGGCAGCGACAAGTGATGGTTTACAGTTATAGTCAGTCCGGATCGGGCGTTCGGTGAGGTGAGATCGCTTCGTGCCAAGCGTAGACCTCTCTCTTTCCACACAATTGATCCCCGATTTGTCGAGCCGGTGTATCAAACGCGACTATTCGCATCACGGATTTTATCGAGACCGTAGTAGACTTTAGAGAGAGTTCGAGAGTGAAGTGTCGTCGTTCCAACCTCGTTTCCAACCGGTTTTCCATTTGGCCAAGGCTTGAGGTTTTCCTTCGATCCTTGGGATTGTTCGCTCTTCCATTCGAAGATATCCAGCGCGCGACTTGTCTTGCACGAACGAGATTCTTCTGGCCCGACTATATCCGAAAACCTGGTGGAACTTGACGAAATAGAATCGAGCACAATTAACGGTATATACGAGACTGGCGGAAAGCAATCCTCGCGGACGAAACGACAGCGTCGGGAATATATATATATACATATATATATATATATAAATATGTATGTATGTATGTGTGTAACACGTCATCGCTGCCGTTCCTGGGTTCATTGTGCACGATTTAATTGGATACGCTTGTTACATCGTAGTCATCGTTTCTCTATATACCTTGGTCGAATGTCGAAATTCGTGCGTGTTTTTCCTGATCTTCGTTCCCCCTATCTACATCGATCGTGAGACTCGGTGAATCGGATCGTTCCAACTTTCTTCTCGGTACGATAGTGTGTAAAAACATTCTTTCGTTCTTTTATCTTAGATAGTTATTGACAGAACTCGATTCCAGATTGATAAACCAATCAAGCCGATAGAAATTGATATTATCTCGCCTATCGTTGAAGAAACAGAACATTTGAGGAAAATCAATCGTATTTTCTTTCGAAATTTGTTTCGACTTTCGATTGCGTATCGCGCGTAGACGCTTCACAGAAGAACTTACACGCGGACGAATACGGTCACTCGTACGCGGATGTGACCTCGTAACACTCGACGAGCAGTTGGAGACGATGGAAATGGAAACGCGAGAAGATAATCAACCGTTTCGTCCACTCGTTTCCTAAGAGTGCGGATTTTTCTTTTCTGTTGTTTCCTCGACAAGTATGATATACTCGCTGATTCAATCTGTTGCGTAGAGATGGAGAAACAGAGAATTCCCCGAAAAAACGTTCACAACTCATGGGAACGAGTTCCGTTTACGATATCAAAGCGAAATGTCACGCACGTGACATGAAATGTCTCGCTCATTTTTACACTCGTGTGAATCGTTTTTTATTTTTTTTTTTTTAAATTTTTAGATAGAAATGATAATTAAATATTAATTCGTTTCAAGAGAGATTTTTGAATCGGATATTTTGATATTCGTTTTCGATATATATTTTTTTTTTTTTTTCGTTTCGAAAAAATTTCATTCATCAATTTGTTCGTATCGACGGATTTTGAGATTCTTGGTATTCGTTTCGAAAAAAGGAGAATCGAAGAGAAAAAATTAAAAGCTCGTGAGTGTTATTACGGTGAAAATGATAGTTGCTGATTTAGAAGGCTCGATGGAAAGAGGAAGTTGACGAGCGGCGAGAAGAGAAAATCTCTCCTCTCTTTTTCGTTTTACTCTCTCATTTCCACGAAGCTTCAACTTCTAGTCTAACTCCCGTTCCGTGTACATCCGTGCCGTCATCGTTAAATTCGCGATGCTATTCTTTATTCGAGAAATGGATTTTATTACCCCCGAATCTTTTAAATATAAACGAAAAGAAACTTGCGCGAGTATGCATAGAAACGAAGTGAACGGTTGGTCGGGGATCGTAATTTTGGTGTTTAAATATCACTCGAGATATGAACACGCTTTGCTTCGAACCAATACGAGATTCGTCATTTCTAAAAAAGTCGCAAACTTTAGAAAGATGTATCTTTTTTTTTTTTTTTAAATCATCATTTTTCACATATTTCTGAAAGAGAAGAAAGAAAAAAATAATAAATAAAATACCAACTTTACGTCAATTATATCCAAATACGATTTCTTGATTTTCGATCGAAAATTTATTATCGATTCAATTAG